ATTCATCAGAATCAGACGATTTATCATGTAAACCATCAACGTCAGTGTGTATATTTATATATATTCAATCCGTCACACGATAGCTGTCATAAAATCACGCTGGCCGTTAAATAAATCATGATTTTGCGGAATGTTTAATCGTAGAAATGATTAAATCACTGATATGATCATTGTAATTATACTGGCAATATTATTAATTATAGTATTACTAGTACTGTGATGATGATGTTGATGTTGAAGTTCATGTTGGTGATGATGAAGATGATGATGATAATGATAATGACAATGATAGTATGAATGATAATGATGACGATAATGATGATTGATGGTCGCGGAAGTGGTGATTGGTGACGGTGAAAAAGCAGTGACAGCGAGATCACTATTTCCTGATTTTATTATTATTTTTATTATCATTATTATTTTATTTTAGTATTATTTTTTAAATTTCTTCTTATTTTTTTAATCATTGATTACACGGCTGATTCATGTATTTATTCTGAGGCGATGTCTGTGTTCCACTCCTTTTCCGTGTTATTTCAAAGATATCTAAAACTGCACGAAACCAAACGAGAAAAAAAAAAAAAAAACACGGTATCATTTTGGGGAAAAAAAAAAAAAAAAATCATTCCTGGTGCGCAGTAAGTCTTCACAGAATCAAGGACCATTTATTTTTTTCACTTCACAGAAACACTAAACTGAAAACGTCACGACATTCTATATCAGTTTCTTGGGAAAGCTTTAAGGGTCGAAGACAAAATCAACCAACGATAATTTTCACTCCGCTATACATTATGAAAGCACCCGTGTTGTTACTCTTGTGGTCTTGGAGTTATCATGGTTTGGTGGAAATATTACATGCTATTTTTTCATTGTTATTATTGTTGTTGTTGTTTATTTTACGGTTATTACATTTGGGTGTTACACAGGTGGTTGTTCTTAAATAATGATAATTATGATAATAAGAATAAAAATCTGTATTTTTATATAATTTGTAAATTATTGTTTAATTACGTTCCATCACAATAATCAGGTTAGTAAAACCTTTGGGAGACAATAACATGATAATAGTGGCAGTTATAATTATGATAATGATGATGACAATAATAATCATGTTGATGATGACAGTGATGATGATGAATTTGATTGCAGTGATTAAAGTGCCTTAAAAATATACTTTTAAGAAAAGGAATAACGAAAAAAGCATTGAGAAACTATATTGGCGGTTTGAATGCAAGGAGTATGATTACTTTATGGCACAAGCTGAATTGTGCCCATAACATAGCAAAAGTTACGTATGCATTTCTGCTCTTGGTCTTTTTTTCTATTGTTCATATTTTCTATTACTGCATAAGAAATAAAGAATAACATCTACATTCTCTCTCTCTCTCTCTCTCTCTCTCTCTCTCTCTCTCTCTCTCTCTCTCTCTCTCTCTCTCTCTCTCTCTCTCTCTCTCTCTCTCTCTATGTGTGTGTGTGCGTGTGCGTGTGCGTGTGCGTGTGTGCGTGTGCGTGTGCGTGTGCGTGTGCGTGTGCGTGTGCGTGTGCGTGTGTGTGTGTGTGTGTGTGTGTGTGTGTGTGTGTGTTTCCTCCGTTCTCTGTCCTCTCACTACCTCTTCCTTTTCTTCCTCCTCTTCCCCTTTCTCTCCACCTATATCAATCTCCCCTCCCTCTCTGTTCTAACCTATGAAACAGCAGAGAGAGTGACATGACCGCTTTCTCGAAACTGACGTGACTCCGATATGACCTACTCGCGTAAAAGACGGCTTTAAACGACCTGCAAGTGCAAGTTCCTGCCATCGAGCATAATTCATTGGTCTCGAGGGTAAACGAGGGGCGTTGGACTTAAACCGAGGCCATTGCTGTGAACGCGTGGCTGCAAAGCGTAACTTTACCTGTGAAAAAAAAATCTTTTGGTGATAACCTGGTAAACGAACGTTCAGTACGTGATAAGGCAAGTGAAATTATGTTTCTTATAAATAATTGATCTATATATTATTCCGGAGTCGCAGAGAATAACCTGATGTTGTGCTGTATGAATGGTGATATTTTTCTTTATTGTAAATGTTATGTCGAATGTGTGTGTGTGTACGTGTGTGTGTGTGTATGCGCTCGCTTTGTCCTGAGGAATATTCTCAACTTCTGCGGATCCCTACTTGTTCCTTTCCTCTGGAATTATACAAATGTATGTACACGAACTGACGCATAAGGATATGTACAATCAACAATCAACTGTCTCTTTCTTTCTTTCTCTCTGTCTCAGTCTCTCTCTCTCTCTTTCTCTCTCTTTCTCTCTGTCTCAGTCGCTCTGTCTCAGTCTCTCTCTCTCTCTCTCTCTCTCTCTCTCTCTCTCTCTCTCTCTCTCTCTCTCTCTCTCTCTCTCTCTCTCTCTCTCTCTCTCTCTCTCTGTCTCTCTCTCTCTCTCTGTCTCTCTCTTTCTTTCGGCCTCCGCGTCTTACGATGATCAACCAGACACACCCAAGCCATTCCATTTTTTACTTACTCTTAACAAAATCTCTAACAAAACTCTTAACAAAACCCCTTCCCACTCCTCCCAGGGCGACACCGTGCGAGTGATCTGGTCCTACGACGAGCAGGACCCGACGACGCAGGACAGGATCGGCATGCACAGCCACCGCGGCGCCAGAAGCCTCTACCTGCGGGAACCCAAGCTGGCTCCTCTGAGGGCTTCGCAGGACGTCCGGCACTGGGATATCTTGTCTCCGAGCGTGAGGGCACTTTCCTTTTATCTTACGGGGATGGGTTTTAGCATGTGGGGTTTTGGTAATGTAATGGTAATGATAATGATTGATAGTAATAATGATAATGATGATAATATCGATAGTAATAATGATGACAATAATATCATTGATGATGATAATAATGATAATGATAATACCACTACTACTAATAATAACCATCATCATAATAATAAAAATCATAATAATGATGATAATGATAATAATTGTAATGATGATAATGATAATGGAAATGATAATGATAGTATTAACAATGATGACAATGATAATGGCAATGATAAGGATAGTATTAACAATGATGACAGTGATAATGATAATAACAGTAATGAAGATGATAATAGTAATAATAATTAAATGATGATAATGATAGCAATTATGGTAATGATAATAACAATAGTGATGGTATTATTAACAACAGTGTTAATAGTAGTAATAGTAACAATGAAAAGGATACTTACAGCATTAGTAGGAGTAGTAGTAGTAGTAGCATTGGTAGTAATAATAGAAATAGTAGTTGTAGTAATAGTAACATTAGTATTAGCAGTAGTAGTAGAAGTAATAATAGCAATAGTAGTAGTAATAATATGATAGTAGTTGTAGTAGTAGTAGGGGAAGCAATACAGTAATAATAGTAACAGTAGTAGCAGTAGTAGTACTAATAATAATGATGATAGTAGTATTAATAGTAGTAGTAGTAGTAGTAATAGTAACAGTAATAGTAGTGGTAGAAATAGTTATAGTAGTAGTAGTAGTAGTAGTAGTGATAGTAGTATAGAATGTAGTTGTAGTTTTAGCAGCAGTAGCAGCAGCTGTTATAAGCTTCTTAGTAATTGTAATTTTCTTAATGACAGTGATGATTATAAGAATGATGATATGATGATGATAATGATGATAATAATTATATTGTTATTAATGGTGATAATTATGATAGCAGTAGTAATAATAATTATAATGACTAATATTGATCATTGATAGTAGTTAATGTTCATGATAATGATGGTAACATTGATTATCATTAATATAATGGGAATAATAATAGTGCATAATGACAATACTAATAGCAATAGTGATTTTTTTATTTTTATTTTTTTCATCATAGTTTATTTTTGTTGTTAGTGGAATAAAAGTAGAATATAATTTTACATACAGGCATCTAGACAAACAACATTCTGCAGTAGCTGTATTATAAGATAAATCATGAAGCTTTTAGCCCTCAAACTAACCCTCTTTCCAGGCATAATGAGCAGGCAACCATATTACTTAATAAACAACAGTCTACAGCTGCTGTTTTATGAAATGAATGTCTTCCCAATCTACTTTGCAAAACAGTTATGGTTAGATTAAAGCAGATTGGGTCATTTTAATTTCCTTTTTTTTTTTTTTCTTCTTCATTCCAGGTGAGTTTGCCAGATGACCTGAGAACGCTCTATTGGTGTAAGCTGTACAAGATACCCAATTTGAGGCAAAAGACTCATGTTATTGGGGTAGGTCGGCTGTCAAATGTAGTTTCTTTGCTTTCTTTTTCTACTCTTTAGAAAGGTTTCTTTGGCTTTCATTATATGACTATATTTATTATATCTGTGTATCTGTATTTATTTTTAGCCTCATTTTTTTTTTCATTTTTCCTTTTTATTACAGTATTTTTTTCATCACTGCAATCACTACCCGTATTACTGTCTCTCAATATTGAATTAATCTTCTTCCTTCACCCCTCCCCCCCAGTACGTACCCCAGATAGAGGAGACCAACCTGCAACATGTCCACCACATGCTGCTTTACGAGTGTCACCTTCCCAACTCGAACAAGCATTTGGAGAAATTCGTTGCAGCCAAGGGAGCCCAGTGCTATGACCGCAACATGCCCTTTTCTTGGTCGGCTTGTAATACACCTATTGTGGCTTGGGCTGTCGGCTCAGAGGGTCAGTTTGAGGAAGAGATTATTGTTGTTATTTTTGTTATTGTGATTATTTTTGTTTTGTACTTCTTATTATTAACTTTTGTCAGACCTTTTGTTTAAAAATGAAGGCTTGGTATAATAGATCTGTGATATAGATAGATAACATAGGCAAATTTTAGATTTTTATATTCTTTCCATGAAGTGAAAGAACCTATTTTTTTCAACAGCATATGAACTCATGCTTGTATTTTTTTTTCTTCTTTTCATAGGTGAGATGTTCCCAGACCATGTAGGAGTTCCATTGGGAGAAGAACATGGTGGAGCTACATATTTTATGCTTGAAATTCATTATAATAACCCAAATCTGAGAAAAGGTAAGAGATATGTTCTAAGAGTCTTTTATGTTGTAAATCATGTTCTTATTGCCTATCAGTAATAGTTAAAACATTTTTGTTCATTGTTATCCTTATTTTTCACTTGATAGAAAAGATAATAGTGTCTGAAGTGTGTAATAGACAAATCCCAGTATGCTTTTTCATCAACATACCAACCCAAACATTCTAAATGATTTTCATCACTGCTTCACCAACAACCAACTACCTATGATTCCGTATCATATCATTTTGCCATATTTACTATATATTACTATATTAATATAATCCCTTTTAATTACAGGTGTAGTAGACTCATCAGGTGTAAGAATAATGTACACAGAAAAGCTGCGGCAACATGATGCAGGAATCCTGACCCTGGGACATACTGTATCTCCCACGCACATTATTCCTCCCGGCCAAAAGTGGACTACTGTAGCCCTTTGTACAGCTGACTGCACAGATGAGGTGATTAATAGAGTACTTATAAGGATAATTTTGCTTGGTTTATGTGTGTATGTGTCTTTCAATATGTGTGTCAGTTTGTAATTTTGGATCTATCTCTGCTCTTAATAAAGCATGACCCATAAAAGAATGAAAATTATGATAATTGTTTTTCACTAGAAATGGTTTGTAGAATTTTTTATGATATTCCTGTGACTCTAAATTACAGACTCTACCAACGAATGGGATTAATGTGTTCCAAGGCTTTCTACATGCTCATCTGCTGGGCTCGTCAATTTCCATCACGCAAATACGGAAAGGGAAGGAACTACCAAACGTCTTTAAAGGTAAGTTTTATGCATTTTGTTATCTATATATCTTTTGTTTTATTTCGTATGTATATATTTATTTATTTTTATCCCTTGCTTCTCTCTCTTTTTTGGCATTCCTTCTCTTTGCTGTTAGGTTACGTGGAGGAGAGAGGTAGAGAGCATCTGAACTGCCTATATCATAAACACAGTTCATTAATTTTTCCTTAAAGGAATGGTATACATATTTATATTTGGAATGTTATATCAAAGCAAATCCAAAAGAAATCTGGAAATATTTTTTCAATAGTCTTAGAATAAGAAGAAACTGATAATCATACTCTTTCTTAGAATATGCGTCAATTTTCCATTTGGTACTTTTTTATTTTTTTTATTTTTTTTTTTGTGTGTGTGTGTGTGTGTGTGTGTGTGTGTGTGTGTGTGTGTGTGTGTATGTGTGTGTAAGTTCATTTTTACTTCAAGAATGAATAAGAAGAGGTATTTTTCCCATGCACACAGATATGTCCTATGATTTCAATTATCAGCAAGCTCGAGTACTGAAGGAAGAAATGAAAGTCATGCCTGGAGATTCTTTAATAGTCAAGTGTGGCTATGACTCCACCAAGAGAAAAATGCCAACATTTGTAAGTACCTTCAATTATTGCCATTTATTTTTTGATGTATGAATATGTGATGTTGCCATACATAGTTGACATTGTACACATGAAATCTATTTTACTGGTCTTTGAAATATAAACATGCTTGAAATACTTGTGTATTACAATGTCACACAAGTGCCTGAACGTACACACTTACACCCACACTCACAACCCACATACCTACACCCTCAGCCACATCTACACACTTCCACCCACCCTCACTTATTATCACTTATGAAATGTTAAATAGCAAATCACCTTTATATATTACTGTTCATTCTGCATTACTATTTACGCTAATAAACCTTCAATTTCCAAGGGTGGATTCAGTACCGAAGACGAGATGTGCCTGGCTTTCCTAACTTATTACCCAAGAGTGAATTTGTCGGGCTGTTACTCGCGACCTGACATGGCTCTCGTCTTTGATACATTTGGCATTCAGGATCTCTTTGATAACGATATGTAAGTATAGATATATTTGCTGATGATGTTTAGGCTTGAATGGGATCTGTTTCTCATGGAAGTGATGTTACGGAAATTTATTGATATGATGATGTTTAAGTTTATTTTGAGGGTGGTCATTTTAATGGAAGCCTTTGATTAGTTATTGGTTTTATGTATGGAAATGTATAATATTGTGTAGATTACAATTGCTATGTATAATTTTTAAATCTTGTCTTCTTTTCAGGAATATATTCAACGACCAGAGTTTCAGGTGAATATCAATTTTCTTTTCCTTTTATAGTAAGATTGCATTTTCTTCTTTCTCCTGGAAAAGTATAGAGCTCTTTTATTGCATGCATTTAGTTACAATACTGATACATGTTGAAAACTCTAAAATTACCAACATTGTACTAATCCCAACCCCACTTTCTTGCCCATCAGTGAGGAATTCATCAATGAGGAGTTTGAAGATTCGTCCCTGACAAGAATGAAGGACAGAGTGAACAAGCCTGTAGACATCCACCTCGGAAACATCTACCGCTACATCATTGCAAAAGCTCCTCAGCGTAAGAGAAAAAAGCTTTAAAGTTATAATTGCTAGGAACTATAATGAATGCTTTAAGATTCTTGCTCATGTGCTTGAACATTTTGTAGAGTTGCTGATAAAAAACAATGTTTAGGAATTATTGCTGAACTTCATTATGATAATAATAATGGTAAAAAACATAGAAAGATTATTTTCACCAAATCCCAGTACTGTAGCAAATGTATTCATCCATATAAACATGTATAAAACATCTCATTTAGGTTTATCTTAAATCTCACTTATTTTTATCATAAGTACCTCTTTCTTATATAAAAACATTTATCATACATCCATCACAAATGGCTAATAAAAGCATTTGTCCCCAGGCTACTTCAACACATCTTTTTACGAAATCTTGCATGATAAAGCTACCTGGCAGGACACACGCATGATCTCCACATTGCAGGAAATGATTGTTCATGGGCAACATGAACCTTCATGTGAAAATCATGGCAGGATTATTATAGATAGGGTAAGTAAAGAAACATTTGTTTGTTTTTGTCACTCTCTGCTAAAGGTTGTGATTTCATAATACTGTGTATTTATAATATCTGTATTAAACACAATATTGCCATAGATTAAAAAAAACATCTTTTTCTTTCCAGTTACCAAAGAAGGTCAAGTATCCAAACTTCATACCACTTCAAAGTGACGAACAACAATGTACTCTGGCAGAAAAAGACACTGAGGTGTATAGGATTGACACCAATGTAGCAGTACCATCAGTTCCAAACACGAATACAAAGATTCAGGAGAACCGGGGTATATGTTCTTTACTCGTCTTTAATGTTGCTGATAGTCATATTACAAAATATTTATTTTGTGGTCTTATAATCAGGATCTTGTTCAAATTAATATGCCAATATTTTGTCTTACGATCATACTAGTTTTTGGTCATGTAATTAAGCTTATGTTTGGAGTCGTACCAATATTTCTTTGTATAATTATACTATGACTATATATTCACACTATGTCACCACACAGGAGAACAAGGAAACCCAACAGCAAGTCCGGTGAAACCCACAGCAACTGTCCCGTGGCGTCCAGCGGAAGAGAATGAAGTTGAAAAGGATTCTCTCACACAGAGAGGAGGGGTTCCTTCCATTTTCCTGAGTTCCTACCTTCTCTTCACCATTGTCATATTACATTTGATACACCAAGCATAGGTTAAACCCATATTACTTTATTTAACTTCTCTACTATGTAGGTTGTATATATATTACTCCTTGTCTGAGTCCATATTTTGAATGCGGTTATGAATGTCTTTTTTTAGAAAGTATTTATGAGAGAGAGACTTATTGACTGGGTAATTTATGGAATGACTTATGTCTCAAGGTGTTAATAGACAGTTTGAGATTTTATATGTGCACTTATATACAATTTGTATATTTAGATATGCTTTTAATTTCACATTTTGGATACTTATATCAGCAGTATTGTGATACTAGACTAGATTTTTGCCAGGTGAGGTTTTTGGTGAGATATATTTATATTATGCATTTTTAAGCATTATTTACTTTTATTCTCACTTCACATATTCTCATTACAGGATATGTTAAGTTGCTATGCATATATGTGTACACATATGTGTATGTACTACTCAGTTTAGTCAGATAAAATGCTTATTAAAGAAAAAAAATGTTTGTGAAAATAATTTATTAATAAAAGGTTCTGTCATCAATACGTGAGATGGAATTGTTTCTGATGAAGAGATGTTTTATCATTATCATATTACAATATAGTTAGCTATTCTATATGTATATACAGCAAAGTACCAATAAGGTTTAAAATGATATTTCTTTATTACTTTATAACCTATATAGGGTCAAAATCTGGATCCAATTTTAAACCCAAATCTTTTGTTTCATTCTTTTTCATTTTCATTGAACTGCCTTTATACAGCTGAACCTGATGCAAAATCCTATGTATACCTTTCTCTAGAAGTTCTACTTTTTTACGGATAAAACAAAAAGAATCTGAACCCTGCCTCTTTGATTTACCTAAATTCAGTCGACACAGCATAAAACTCTTACCTTGTCTGTGAAAGGCTAGATGTGATTAAAATGCCCACAACAGGTAGATATGCACAACTGTCATAAGAAATACAGTATTTGTTTGTTTTCTGCAACATCATCATCAATGATCTTTTGCAGCATACAGTTTCATAACATTTTATCATGTGAATATATTTCCATAGAATTTTTGTATCTGTTTATATATATATAAAAAAAAATTATATAAATTTGCCATTGATGCATTGTTTCATTTCATTGATGATGACTAACAGGATCCACCTTGATATGCCAAATCAGAATGGAATGAAATACTAATTTTGTGATATAGTAACCATGTTACAGTGTAACAAAACATTCAAGGTCAGATGAGAAATGTTATAGATACTAAAGGAATAAAGATTTAGCAGTATCACTGGACATCCAGCAAGACAGACTACTGGATGATACCTGATGCTTGGAAATCGTAAAACATTTACTGGCAAGATCTGTCACCTAGAAGTGAATTACTTGATCCACTAATGGTATACAATTTCCACATTTGCAAGGATATAGAAAATATTGTACTTCTTTTTATTTATTATCATATACTTCATATATGCTTTCTTATATATATCAATATATAGATAAATACATTCAATTAAACACAAATATATCATTCTGTGATATTCAGTAGTGTAAGATCATAATTGGTGAGATATTAAATTTACACAACATAAAAACAAAACATATATTAACACTCACATTTTTTTTTTCTGATGGCAATTCAAGGTTACACAAAACTTCATCTCTTGCTTTTCTTACCTTCAAGGCTTAAAAATATCAGACGAGTGGTTCCCAAGTTTTTCATCTACAAGGACCTCTTCTTTGAAACATCCCACCCCCCGGGTTTTTAAAAAGTTGTCTGTTTTAGCCTATAACAGCTACAAACTAAGTAGAGCTTTTCTATTTTCACCTCTCATTTCAAAGACCTGTAACTGAATAACATTAAATGAAGAAGAAGAACAAGATGAAAAAGACTTTTTGTTTAACTGCTTTATTGTAAATAAAAATGCACTATATGCAGATTTTTTTTTCAATTTCAAAGTTAAGCAATGGCACTGATTAATTGCACTGTCCTCTGTAGTTTTGTTTAGTTTTGTATACTTCTAGATGGCTCCACAATGTTTCTTCACCAAGGAGTCAGTTAGTAAGTCTACCTGACTTCACCTGAAATCCGCATTACTTGAATTTTTGAAAGTTTTATTTTAGATATCATTACTGTTATTATCACTTCTGGCATTGAGATTATGACAATGTTATACCAAGGAAAGGGTAAACTAGATCAAGTGAGATCAAGAATGACTAGTAATTGACTCTTTAGTGACTAAGCTTTTCTAGAGCCATCTATGCGTATACAAAATTAACAAACTAAAAAAATGGTGGGCATGCACGGGTGTACTTGCCATCCTGAAGTCAAGGGGTTAATTTATGGACAATAAATACCACCTTCGCAGCACCCTGGGGATCAAGGTTGCCCAACTGGGAACCACTGTCTTCAAAATTTATCAAGAGTTACATCCAAAAAGTATTACTAAGCAGTACTGCAAAACAATGAGTGCATTCATCATGTGAAAAAATACAGTGTATATACAAGGAATTCACAAGAAGCAGAACGGCCCAGCACACATAGAAACACATTCTCACCAACTTAAAAGTTCACAAATTTGGAATAAAAAAAGAACTATGAAATCAGATCTCTGAGAAAGTGGAATGAAATATGAACTTAGATTCTAACAAAGTATCACAAATTTCTCCTATTTGTGCTTAATCATTTCACATATCAAAAAGTTACTATAATTACAATAATAATAATAATAATAAATATTCACAGGTACTTGTCATGTAAAGAATATTTACAAAGAACAAAAGAATTACAAATGATATTACCAACAAACAATATCATATTTGTATAAGGAGCTCTAGCTATTACATAAATTGTTACAGAGTTTGATATACATGTTTCAATTTTACACACAATTTTAACATGCTGCAATAAACTGGAGTTGTTTTGAAGAGCAATAGTGACAACACTGACCCAAAAAAATAACAGTGCTGGAGGGAACAGATTATTGAGCTAACGCTATCCTAAAGAAGTTACTTATGGCATTTTCTTCCCCACCTCACCTTCTAAAATAATGTTAATAATAATGATCTTCTAACATTAAACTTTGGCACCATCTGCCCTTCAATAAACACCACAATGGAACATATACTGCAACAGGTAATTGTACCTCTTTATGTTCCTTCAGACTGAGAAAAAACATCCACTAAACCCTAAACTCAGATATACAGTGTGAAATAATGTATGTATTTGTATGTCCTTAATTCTTATGAGATAATAATATTACATACTGTCTATATTCCATTATGGATTGAATTAGAATCAATGAAAATAGAGCAGTGAGCCTACATCTTCTAATAATCAAATACTTTTATACTAGAAAAGTTCTTAAATCCTTTACAATTCTGAGCGATTGCCTGGATCAAAACCTACAGAAGCTTTCAGATTTTATTGTCGAATTAAGCAATACCTTCATCAAAATTTTCTGAATCTATTTCTCAAACCAATATTTCCAAAAGAACCACAGGTGAATAAGAATGTGCTAAAGAGAAAATAATGTACAACTGCGCATTAACTTTCTCTTACACAATATACTCTATTTCTCACCTACCGTCTAATCTTTCAGTTCCAACAAGAGCAAATATATGGTATCTTAAAAAAAAAAACTTTGGGAAAAATACTATTTTCTTTGATAATGCATTCAGAAAATTAATAACTAAGACAAAGGACAAAAAACGTAAAATACACATTTAAAACTTTCACCAGTTTCTCAGATCTGTTCTACATCCATCCACATATACCATTTTAATTACTTTTTTGTCTTGCAAAGTAGTTATCTGACATTAAGTAGAATCCCTACAACATTAACACAAAAAATTAGTAGCTATATAACCATTACATTTCATTTAAGTTATTTTACGTCATCAAAGCCTATTACGATCCATGGCTTTATGGAATTAAAAATCTCACTGTTCTAGATATGTACTTTTTCTTTATCTGGAATAACTTTAAGCAAGTTTGGTGCCTAAAATTGCAATACATTCAATATAAATGTAAACAAAAAACGAAATGTCAAAGCAGTAATTCAAAATCTATTTCACTAAAATTACATTACTTTAAAATAGCAATGTAGCAAGTCGTCACATATAAGTCATATCACATACTGCTTGGCAAATTTATAAATGATGGGAAAAAAAATAATTGGTTCAATACTAAAGCTTCTGTACATTAACCTAAAACTGAAAAGGGGAAAAAAGAACCCAAAAATATACCTACTCCTTCTAATAGTTTTCTTGTTACTTTGTATTATGACTATATTAAGTCCCAAACATCACAGATAACTTGGAAATGAACAAGATCTCAATTATTTTGTCTATTTACATTTTTCTGGTATTTCACATGTCAATACCTTCATACTTCATTTCTTCTTCACTTTCTCTCACGAGAAAAAGGTTTATCATACAAAGCTCATTGTTCACCAATTTTCAATATGCATGACTTAAAAATTGGGTAGGCAGACTTTTCCAGCAAAAAGCTCAGAAACCACTGTCATCCAAAGAGCTAGCACAAAAAATATGTAAGAATATCCGACCTGGAGGGAAAAAAAATACGGCATGATATAAGAAGCTTTTCATATCTACATAAATGTTCTGTTCATCCATCTTTTAAAATGGCAATAACCATTCTCATACTCTTAGGATACAAGATTTTAAAAGTGGCTAATATTATTAATATTTCATGAGAAATGTGCCATGTTTACAATACTGCCAAATAATCGTTGTTATATGAGATGTATGCTTAGCATACTAAAAACCATTCCACTCACCTGGAAACTGTTTGGGAGTTGATATGGTTCTCCGCCAATCTCTTCCACATAAAATCCCATTGGAAAGACGACTGCAGCCAGGCAGAACAGCACCACTGTACAGAGAAATAATTTTTTTTTTCTAATACATAACTTACTGTAACCGGTTTCATTCTTAGAATACTGATTCTCCAATATTATAATCATATTTATCACGAGAAGAAAGGGTGACTGCTTCTACCTCAAAAATTAATGAATTGACTTGACATTTATGCCATTCCACACTTACTTGCAGTGAACCCAACCCAACGGGCATAGGCCATGATATAGAGACTGATTCGGCAGTGTGAGAGAGCCAGCAAAACGATGGTTGCAGTGACACACACACACCCCAATAGTACACATCCTAGTGTCACAAGCCATGCTCCTCCAAGGGATGGAGCATAGCAGACCTGTTAAACACAAGAAAAAAATTAAGATATCCTACAAAACAACAAACAATAGAAAACAGGCTCTAATATTGTAATATATGACTATAATCAAATCATAGAACAAGGTTTTTTGAAAGAAAAAAAAATAATACTTACCTGAGATCTATTATATAAAGTCTCACATGTCCATAGCAGTCCCAGGCGAGTATCACCTTGAAAAGCATGTTATCTCAATTAACCATACAGTTTTACAGTACTTGACAATCAATACACAGCACTTGATACTTGAAACCCTATCACACTAGGACTTCTTAAATTAAATTTGTGTTTCTGCATGAATTTAAGGATTTTTGTATGCTTCTCTATGTCCCCGACAAAGTGGAGTGTCCACTTTTTGTTTAAATAATATCCATCTTGATATTATGTTATGCTGGATTTATACAGTTAGACTGTCGTTAATGAAATATAAAGCAAAAGAAGTTTATGTAAAATTCACTTATCAGCACAGAATATTTTTATTTTCTTTTACAATAAAGATATCTAATTCACATAATTATATCTAATCGAAATGATGCAATATGTATGAGGAGTCTCACGTGATTCATGGAACCTACTTTGTTTGTTTACAGGGGTATCACTTTTGTTTACATGGGATTGGTGGTTGTTCGCCAGTCTGATAAGATTAGATCACTCACATGCAGAACTTTCATAAAGAAACTGAAAATTCTAGTGAAAGGACAAACTAATGATAATAATAGTAGTAATAGTAATAGTAGTAGTAGTAGTAGTAGTAGTAGTAGTAGTAGTAGTAGTAGTAGTAGTAGTAGTAGTAGTAGTAGTAGTAGTAGTAGTAGTAATAATAATAATAATAATAATAATAATAATAATAATAATAATAATAATAATAATAATAATAATAATAACAACAATAACAACAACAAAAACAACAACAAAAACAACAACAACAACAACAACAACAACAACAACAACAACAACAACAACAACAACAACAACAACAACAACAACAACAACAACAACAACAACAACAACAACAACAACAACAACAACAACAACAACAACAACAACAACAATAATAATAATAATGGTAATAATAATACATTAAAAATTAAATATAAGACTTATGGTAAAATCTTTGGGCAAAAGTTTGACACATTACATTTGGCT